CATTGACTTCAATGGCCCATAGGATATAATGGGGCAGAAATTGACATTTGTGGGGGCCAATGTTCCCTCTAAGCTGTGGAGTCTTGTGAGCAAAAATTCTACTTTGTGAGCTACTGGCATTAAAGTTGTGAGTAAGTGATTTGGCTACGGCATAAATTAGTTTGCTCTGGAGCCATCCCTCCTGAGCTAAGACAAAAATGTGTGAGCCGGAGGCTAAAAAACTGTGAGCTAGCTCATACTAACTCAGCTTAGAGGGAACACTGGTGGGGGCAATAACTTTGTAATGAGCCCCTAAGGAGACCTGGGGGAGCCAGAATGACCTCTCCGCTCGGACATCACACGCAAGAGATGGTATTTGCCCCTACAAGTCCAAGGCCACCACCCCAGGGCTCAGGGAGGCGGGAGAATGTTTCGCGCGCCCCCCCCCAGGGGATATTGTTCCCCGCCCCCCCCCCCCGTGGGCGTTGCAGCTGCCGTCGAGAACGGTGGCGGTGGCCATAACTTTTAAAAGAGCCCCTATGGACAGCTGGGGGAGCCAGAATGACCTCTCGCATGTGATGCCGCTCGGACATCACACGCGAGAGGTGGAATTTGCCCCTACGAGTCCAAGGCCACCACCCTGGGGCTCAGGGAGGCGGGAGAACGTTTTGCCCCGCCCCCCGCGTCGCAGCTGCCACCGAGAACAGCGGCGGCGGCCATAACTTTTTAAGGAGCCCCGAAGGAGAGGTGGGGGAGCTAGAATGACCTCTTGCGCTAGAGGTGGAATTTGCCCCTACGAGTCCAAGGCCACCACCCCGGGGCTCAGGGAGGGGGGGAACGATTCGCCCTGCCCCCACACGGTTGCCCAACTGATGGCTGGTGGGAGCAGGGCGGGGCTTATGTGCCCGCCCCTGGGCTCCTGACTGGCGGAGGGACCTTGGGAGTCAAAGCGACCTTGGGAGTGCTTAATGGTTCTTCCCATGCTTCCCCCCCCCCATCCAGATTTGAGTCAGGCTGCCAGACAACAGTGAATGTATTTAACACTTTTTTTTTTAATTATATTTCCAGAATAAAGTTCTTAGATTGGTTTTAATGAACTAAAAGTGGAGCGGTGCTTTATTAAGATGTGTACCTGCGTCTTTAAGAAATTACCTACCGAATGAGACCAGGCATCCATTTTAAAGGCAAAATATTGATCCGTTTATATATATTTGCATGCATCGAGTTACCAGATCCTCCCCATCTTTTGCTATGCACCATAATATGCAAAGCGAAAGATGGGGAGGATCTGGTAACTGATTTGCATGCGTCTGAGTTATCTCCTTTCAATATGTTATGCATCAGTGGCAGAAAGAGGAGGAGGAGGAGAAGAACTGGGAAGGAGTTGCGTTCTAATTTCAGGGTGCGGAGAGAGGATCCTGGGAGTTGTAGTCTTTAGAATGCGAGGAAAGGCGCTCAATGCAAGGCGGAGACTACAATCCCAGGAGCCCGTGGGAAGCGTGGGAAAAGCAATAACTTCCTGAAAAACGCAGAAGGCGAAGGCGCTGCAGTGCGAACGGAAAGTGGGAAAACAAGAGTCGGTGGTTGTAAAGCCGGTGCCCCGCGCGTGGGCTGTGGGTGAGTGCGGCAAAAGGATGTTACTCCTTGGCGCCCATTATTCTTCGTCCTCTGGTTTCGGTGGCTTTGATTGTAATCATGGCTTGCTCACACCTACGGACTTGTAAAGCGTCTCTCATCGTATTGTGTTTCTCTAGAGGTAAATTGCATTGTAAATTTAGGGATTTTATTACCCAGGGCAGTGATGGAGTTTTTCGTTTGGGTCTGTTACTAGATATCGAAGGCATTTGGAAGATACTAATGTTCTGGCATTAAAAACCTGTTGGGGGCTGTTTCTTCCCTTTTCCGTTTTATGTTTGATTGGTTTGGTGGTGGTTTCTGCCGTGATTCATAATCTCACCCACACAGTGTGGGTTGTACAGAGATTGCTCCTTGGTCCGGCTTCTTACTCGTTGTTAGTAATGCCAGCAAAGTGGCTGTGGGCTTCTTTTCAACTCCCCTGTTAGATGTTTTAAAGTACTTACAGTTGTTTCCTGGGCCTTCTTGAGTGCTGCGATATTTGAAAAGCTGGGCCCAATGAGACAAGGCCATGAATAAAGCAGGTGCTTATTCTGTAGAAGCATTCTGTGTGTTTTTTCATGGTTCAACCTATTTACTTTAAAAACTTTTACTTTGGCTTGGTTAAAAGTGACTTCCAGTTGAAGCAGATGTTAATAAATAAATTAATAAAATAGTCGTTATTTCTCATTAATATATAACAGTGACCTGTAAAAACAATTGGGGAACCGTTTAAAAGGCTGCTAAAGAAGGAGCCCTCTTTGCTTTGCCAGGCAGTCTGTCCTAAAGTTGTGATTCCACCATAGTAAAGACCCAAGACTGTGTTGTTTGAGTTGCCCATGTTCCCTGAATGGAAAATGGGATCAAAAGAGTGCATAGCTTCATCGAGTAACACTTGTATTGCTCCTTTTCCCCCTGTTTTAACTCAGTCCTTCTTCCAGTGAGCTGAACTGATACATACCCCCACATTTTCTTGTAGTAACACTCCTCTGAGGTAGACTGAGCCATTTCATGGCTGTGGGGATTTCAACTGGAATTTCCTTGGTTCTAGAAGAACAGCACCCACTAGCATTTAGCATACCAGTGATGAGCAGATAGACTACAAACATGTTAGCACTGTACTTCAGTGCATTCACATGTGTGTTAAATGTATTCTTTTGTCATCAGGCATGCTTGGAACTTTTGCGTAGGTTTACTGATGATCCCTATCATGTCCAAAATAAGGCAAATTTCAGCAGCATTTTGCTTTCACAGGCTGATGTTGAACTGTAAATCATCTTAACGTTTACTGCTTTGAATTGGAAAAAGGGGATCTACGCTTCTGATGTAATCAATAAATCTCTTCTACTGTTGGGGCTCTGGTTGTGTGACTAGCCGAAATTCAGCTTTTAGCGCTGTCCTCAGCATGCAGAGAGAAAACCGTCACTGGTTGAGT